CCTTTTATGTTTGTTTTTGTGTAACTAAATTCATAATTTCAATTCATGGATTTAAATTATTAAAGTATTTCCATTGTTTTAAAGTATTTCCATTATCTTAATTTTGTATCCATTTGATCATCATAAACTCCTGAATTATGATTTATAATATTAACGTAGTGATCAACAAATTAATCACTTGACACCTCAGATCACTTGATTTCATGCAATTTAGTATCTTTCTGATCTTCATTTATCCTTAATTCTCGTGACTAATAGTTTAAGGTCATCACGGACCAATTACCTTAATCCATGTGATTATTAGTTTAACGACTTCTCGGTCCAATTAAAATAAAAATAAAAATAAGTTAAAATTTTATACACTAAGACTAAATGTAATACTGCGCCTCACAATTAATAAATTTACTAGATATACTACGGCATTACAACTATCCCCCGCATGAAAATTTAATGCCCTCATTAAATTTATTCTAAGAATCGAACTCGTGTCTCAAAGTGGTAGGTGCGAATTATACCACTAAATCAAGCATGCGTTGTTACTTGACTTAGCTGCGTCCTGCGGCTGTTCCCGTGGTTTGTCATATGTTCTTCTGAATTTCACGGTTTTCTTGTACCGGATTTCACTTAGGTCTTTCTTTGGAATTTTCATTAATTTTTCCTATTTTTCCAAAATTATTTTTATGTCATGTGATTTTATTTCACATGATTATAAATTATCTTTATTTTTCTAAGTCAATAGATGATGGTTATCATTTACTCATCGGTGTATGGTAAGTCTTTAATAGTTCTCCATTTACAGGTGTTTTCTTGATTACACCCTTAATATCTTTAATTTTGTAGGCTCCGTTTGGTAGTATTTCATGAATGTAAAATGGTCCCAACCATTTTGATTCCAATTTTCCAGATAATTGTTGTGCTTTGGCTTTATCATAGAGTAGTATTTTATCTCCAATTCCAAAGGTGTGTTCTTTGATTATTTTTCTGTCATGATACTCTTTTTGTTTTATTTGAGATTTCAATATTTGTTCTTTAGCTTCATGTCAGATTTTTGGTAGTTCTTCTAATAATCCAACTATTCTATCACTTAGGTTAATTTCTTTGATATTTTCATCCATTACTGTCCGTACATTTCTTCCAACATCATTCAGCATATTTTCCCAATAATATTTATCTTTTAAATTATCATAAGTACTTTTGATTCCCATATGTGCCGATAATTCATGACTGTGAGCTAAATATAGTGCTCCCATCTTTTCAAAGTCTTCTATTATTCTTATGTTTTTACCATTTTTCTCAATATGCTTTTTACCATCAGTTACTCTGATGTTATCCTTAATATCAACATTTTTAACCTCTATTGGTGGTTTATCTCCATCTAATTCTATTACTTTATTATATACTCTTTCCCAATCTGTGTCATTATTCGATATTTTAATATTAGCATATTTTTCTCCTTCGTAAATATCTTGACATTCTTTAAATGATTTCACCATTTCCATATATCTTTCTTCATTTAACAATGGGTATGATGTTTTATGTCCTTGATCCTTTTTCGAATATTCTCTACCTTTGTAATTTTCCCAACATTTTTCATTTTCTAAAAATATCACAATTGATTCATCAATTATCCTTTTGTTCCTAAATACTTCCTTATCTAATAGGTGGTTCTCATATCTTGTTATGTATCCTCTGTCGAATGATGGTGTTTGTTGATAAAAGTACTCACTATAGGGACTTTTATCTAATATTAACCAATCATCATTATCATGTTCTTCCATTCTCCTGTTGATTTGTTCGACAACTTCCTTCCTGAATTCCCATTCTATACCTTTCTTTGGTATTTTATACTTATCATTGTCCTCTCTTCTCCTTTTAAAGGTGTTAAACCTCACACTTTGTCCTACTTTTTCAAATTCTTTTATAAGTTTATTTACAATGAATGTTTTTCCAGTACCATCAACTCCACATATGATTATTATTTTAGGTCCCATTTTATTTTTGAAAAGTAACTCTTTTACCCATCTATTTATATTATTCTTGATAAGGCATCTGCATTTTTATTTTCTTTTCCTGGTCTATGGGTTATTTCAAAATCATACTGTTCCAATTC